ATCCATCCATCTTACAGGACTACCCTTTATTCTGGCATTATGTGCTTTCTTTTTTGTGGGTATTCAAATGGCTTTTATTTATGAAATAATGATGATAATGAATGATTTTTTGATGTTTTGTTTTTAAATGTCCTTTAAACGCAAAAGAATGCAACGTTAGTTTGGTCATTCTCTGATCTCCTCTTTCTTTTTCCCTCTCTGTCTGTTTGTCTCTCTTTCATGTATCTCTTACCAGTCAGGGAAATTCAAGAATATCTGTGGTAAGTAAACACTGGTTAGGAACAGAGCCGAGGGGGTTCTGTGCTGGGGTCATGGGCACTGGGCAGTTGCGGCTCACCTCTCTGAGGCAGTGGCTTTATTTCTCCACTGTCCCCCACTTCTGCTCTGGCCCTTGCTCCTAGCTGACTTCAACAAATGTGGCAGTCTAGCATGTTTTGGAAATGTTTGGAAAATTCATGAGAAATGTTCTAAGTTTCAAGGAGTTGCTCAGAAGTGTTGGATTTAAATGATCAAAATCTAGGCCTTGCAGGTCACACATTACCACCACATGAAAGGTGGAATTTGCACTTCTTTAGATATTTTGCTGTTTCACTCTGTCTGCCTAAGGAACAAGCAAAACAGCCTGGCTCCGTGTAGGCCATGTTTGGATCATGTCTCTCATCCTTGACTCAAATAAGAATTTTAATGTGGTCACAAATCCCCACAGCGGCTGCTTTGCTGGATATATAGACTTCACCTGCCATGGAGGAGTCCCAGCAAAGCAGCCATTGTGGGAGTTCATGACCCTCACCACCGAGGGGTCCCTCCATGGCAGGTGAAGACTAGAAACCCAGCAAAGAATATGTGGCCACCTCCACCTGTATGTAATGCCTTTTGAAGGTATTATCTGAGTTGAGCATTATTCCACTGATACTCTACTGAGGTCATGTGTGGTTCTGCAACCTGATTGGGATTTTCCAGGCTGTCATTCTATGCCACAGGCTGAGGGAACCAAGCTCAAATCAGAGTTGATAAACAATACTCATTGACGGCCATTTGGCCAACACATCAGGATTAATCTAAATTTATCCTGACAGTATCTTATACTGGTTAAATTCATTAATTGTTTATATCATGCTTTGAATTTGTGGTTTTCTTTTATTATCATTTCCTATAAGAAGTTCCTATTTTTTTTTCCTGGGAGGCCATGATCCCCTGTCACTTTACCCTTCCACTCCCATGCGAATCTCCCAATCTCTGAGTGATAAGGTAGGTAGACAAAGGCTTTCCCTTGACTCAAGGTGGGATTAACTTTGTGGTTCAAGCCTTTCTGGAGGATCAGACTGAAGTTAGTCTCTGACCAAGACCATACCTGGCTTAGTTTTCCCCTGGCTCCTGAGAGCATTCCCCAATCACTTATTTGAACAAGAATCCCTGTGTTAGGCTCTGCTTTTAGGTAACCTGATCAAGATTGGCAGGACCCCAAAGTCACTACAAATGGTATGGATATAAAAGAGTCCAGCTGCCTTCAAGATAATTTGTCAAGAGTACTGCCCACTGAGGATATTCCATATTACATGGCAACAAACCAACCCAGTCTGATCTTCTTAGGCAGAAAGTTGGCCACTGCATTTCAGGTTATTTTCCAAAAAAGATGTGAAAAAACATTGTTGAACATTAATAAGGCACACAGCACATTGTAATGTTGGATGTTCTAGGACTCAAAGGCAAAAATGGTATTGAGAGGTATATTATTTCTTGTGGCTGCTGGAACAAATTACCACAAACTTGGTGGTATAAAACAACAGAAATTTATTCTCTCACAGTTTTGCAGTCCAGATTGATGAAATCAGTAAGCATCACTGGGTTGAAATCAAGGTGTTAGCAGGGCTGCACTTCTCCAGAGGCACTAGGAGAGAAATCCTTCCTTACCTCTTCCAGCTTCTGGTGGCCACCGGCACGTCTTAGTTTGTGCGGCGTTACTCTGATCTCTACCTCTGTGATTGCTTTGGCTTCTTCTCTTCTGTCTGTGTTTTATCTCCCTCTCCCTCCCTCTTATCAGAATACATGTAATCACATTTAAGGCCTGCCCTGACATTCCAGGAAACTCTCCCCATCTCAAAATCCTTAACTTAATTTTATATGGCAAGGTCTTGTTTCCATACAAAGTAACATAGTAACATTTACACTTTCCAGTGATTGGGGCAGAGATATATTTTGGGGGACTGTTTTTCAGCCTACCACAAAGAGACAATTGCAGTGCTATCTTGCATTCCTGTGCTCTTTCACAGTAAACCTCCATCATGAAAGATGGTCCAAATGCCTCTTAGTTACATGTTTTATACTTACACAATATATTCTATGCAGGATATAGAGAAATGAAAACACAGCCCTCTCTCTCAAGGCTCTTGCCATCTATTTTAGGAGAAATATACATTCTATGCTCAATTACAGATAATAATGCGGATTAATGTAACTTATCACAAGGCAGTTCACCACTGACACTGGATTCTTGTAGGACTTATATTCCAAGAGGAGGTGGAGAAAACCAGTGGGCTAGAATGTGAAGGGAGGCTTTAAAGAAGGGTGAGACTTGAGCAAAATCTTACTAAGACTTAAAACGTTGAATTTGGCCAAGCAGAAGGGAAGAGAGTTCAATTGATTTTCTCATTTGATGTTTATAATTGTCATTTAGGGTTGTGCCATTCAAACATTTTTGGACAACTCATAGTAAGAAATATACACCATGACCTGGCATGTGAAATATACTTACGAAATAAAAGTTTCACAAGATAATATTATTTATTCTTAACAATGAGTTCTGCTTTTTAAATTCAATTCTATTCCATTCCATTCCATGTCCCCAAAAGATTCTGGTTGAAGTTCACTAGATCACTAAATTGAGTCATAACCATTAGAGTGGACTGATACACAGACATTTGAAAAAATGCTATTTGAAGGCAAATATTCTCTACCATGGTTTCTGACCATATTGGTTATTAGTTACCTATTGCTGCACATAAATTATTTCAAAACTACGTGGTTTAAAACAACACCCATTTGCAATCTCATGGTTTCTGTGGGTCAGAAATCTATGCATTGCTTAGCTGAGTACATCTGCCCCCCAAAGTGTCTTATAAGCCTGCAATCAAGGTATTGGCCAGAACTGTAGTCTCATCTGAAGGTTTGACTGTGAGAGCAGGAGGATTTGCTTCCAAGCTCACTCACATGCTTGTTGACAGAATTTAGCTCCTAGTGGGCTTTGAGGGCCTCACTTCTTTGGCTGAAGGCTTCCCTCAGTTCATTTTTATATGGACTTCTCCACAGGGCAACCAGCAACATGACAGCTGGCTCCCTCGGAATGAGTAAGAGAGAGCAAGAAAGGGTGAACAAGATGTAGTGAGCAACTTCTTATTATGTAGTCTCAGAAGGGATATACCATCACTTTTTCTGTATTCTGTTTTAAAAGAGAGTCATTAGGTACAGCCTGTACCAAAGAGGAGAGGATTGTGCAATGGTATCACTACCGGGAGGTGGGGATCACTGGGGGTCACCTTAGAGGCAGCTGCCTGCCACACTGATAAATCTGAATCAGCAAGAGAAGAGTTAGTGGCAGTTGGAGGTATAAACTGCACCCTAACGTGCATCCTCCAGAGAGCCATCTTGATTTGTGGGAGTGTATCCAAGGCATGGCTGTTGTCCACAGTTATGACCTTGAGGAATAAAATGCTGAGGACCACTGCTGGAAGGTAAACAAGGGAGCAAGAGTGTTAGCTTAATTTAACGTTTGGGGAATGTGAGTTGTGGTGATTAATCTGCTCAGACTCATATGGTGAGTTAGCGACAATGCCATAGTTGCAACCCAGTTCTCCTGGCTAGAGAACTTACCAACGTTTCCTCATTCTCCTAAATTGCTAAGTTATTAACTTGACCTTGGTTACATACACAGTGAAGTGTTAACACAATACCATACCATGTCTCATACCAACCTAGAAGGTTGAATAAAAAGAACTGATGTTTTTGAGTTTAATTTGCCAATTTAGGATTTTTTACTTTCCCTGAGGCAAAGGAGAGAGTATAACTTTTACGAAGGAAGCAAATCATGCTAGGTTTTAAAGATTTCATCTCAAGTGGTTGGCTCTGTTCGTTTACACCTAATCACAGTTCATTCTTTACTATAACAAGAAATTTTAATAGCCCTTAGAATTTTAATGATGTATATAAAACGTTGAGATGTGTTTTATAGCATGATGCTGTGTCACACAAAATCTAAGGTCTTGCTACCTTTTATTTATTTACTTCAGTGATTAGAAGATTGGCACTTGGGAAAATAATTTAAAATTCTTGGATTTCCCGTTTATCCTAAGGCTCCATTTTAATCATACATATAATGTTTTAGGGATTCTCAGGTGAGTAGCTGGTGATTCATAGATATATCTGTTTCATATGTAGCATTTCTCAGTGTGCTGAATGCAGTCTAAATATTAAGAGGAAGAAGGTAGCTTCCAACAGCAAAAGGAGGTGAGAGGCCTAATAGGATGTAGAGAAGGATGAGTTTGAGGGCCCAAGACCCTTTCTGCAGCATCACTCCATGAGGGCACAATGTTCTTCTTAGCCCTGCTTATGTTGCCATGGTAATCTCTATACTAACTGTAGCCAGAGATATTGTGCTCAGCCTCATCAGGGATCCTCTTTTCGTGACAGCCCACTAGAGATTTCAAGAGACAGTGCTCACCAGTGGTGCAGGCTGCATTTCAAATGATGGCATACAATCCTTGAATAGCAGGAGGAGTTGGCATGGAGTGACCAAAAGGAAAGAAAAATAAATTTTGTAAAGAAAAAACAATGTTATTTTGAACTAGGAATGACTCTGGGGTGTGACAGAACTTTCTATCCTCACTGCAATAGTATCTCTAAAATACTGAACAAATTTTGTTCTGAGCTCCTAGTTTGGGGATGAATTGAATGGGAAGAAGGATTGAGGCATGAAACAAATGAATATTTCTTTTTCTGTTTTTCAGAATTTTAACCAGATTATAAAAAGCAGTGTCTTTAATCTGAGAGGCCATCATTTTCAGGATGACAAGATATGACAAAATAGAATAAAACTGATCTGTGAGTTCAATGAAGAAGACTGAGAAGACCAAGTAAGAATTTTGGAGATCTTAAAAGTAATAATAAAATGTATTAAAAATATAGTTGTTATTTTGGAATAGTTTAAAAAACAAGCATACTCTTACCTTTTTATTCTTTGTTTTCAATTACTGCTGACCACTTTTATCAAGGTGTCTCAAATTCAAAGGTCTTGCTTGACAGACAGGCTGGTAGAGCCTCTACTCATGACCGAGATCTGGAAACTACTTGAATTTTCCTTCCAGGGCCTGTACTCTTGCCTATTTTCTTTTCTCTCTCCCCCAAGTCTTTCCTTCCTTTCTTCCCACGTTCTAGTTAGTTAAGCATTTGATCACTTTCGTTAATATGGACTGAGGAATTGAGACTCAAGTGTTGTCAATGGGAATCTTAGTCTAAAGGTGGGTCTAGTGAAAACTCACAAAATTCAATCAGTGGGGCCGCACACAGCCCAGGAGTCAGAAAGAGCCTTTGGAACCCTCAGGCACCTTCAAGCACCCCGGCAGCACGAGTTCTCCCTTCCCCTCCCCTCTCCTCCCCTCCCCTCCCCTTTCCTTTCTTTTCTTTCACGGAGTCTTGCTCTGTCGCCCAGGCTCGAGTGCAGTGGCACGATCTCAGCTCACTGCAAGCTCCACCTCCCGGGTTCACGCCAGTCTCCTGCCCCAGCCTCCTGAGTAGCTGGGACTATGGGCGCCCGCCACCACGCCTGGCTAATTTTTTTGCATTTTTAGTAGAGATGAGGTTTCACCATGTTAGCCAGGATGGTCTCGATCTCCTGACCTTGTGATCTGCCCACCTCAGCCTCCCAAAGTGCTAGGATTACAGGCGTGAGCTACCATGCCCAGCCTGAAGAGCTGCTTTTTAAAACATTTATCAGCAGACCGCTGCCACCTACCACTGAGATGCTGAAGTAAGGGCTCGTGTTACTAAGGATAATGTAGTGTGTCTCTGCCTCTGGGCATGTTGCGGTGAATAAAGGTTGAGAATTCAATGCCCTAGAGTATGTGGAGAAAGATGCTGGGTGCTGCAAGATCTGTGTTCTCCAGCAGGGTCAGATGTGTGATGACCCCAGGTATAATGATGAGCTTAGCTCTGTTTCCATGAAAAAGCACTATGGAAAGCCCTGCTGGGTGGAGACACCAAAGAGCATTGGACACATTCTCTGCCTTTGGGATGTTTCTGAGTTGGATGATAGACAAGTGATAGACCACAAAACAGTGAATAATATATAATATACAATAACATTTGAAGAGGTGCCAGATGACTGGGGCAGATCATAAGTACTCAGTGGAGTCGGAGGAGAATTGATTGAGTGACTCCTATTGTGACAGGCACAGTGCCAGGTTCTGGAGATTCAAGTAAGCAAGACAGACCTGATTGCTGGCTGACCTTGAAGTACCCACCATCTAGTGCAGTGTCTCTCAAGGTGTGGTCTGGTGACCACCTGCATCAAAGAAGTCATGAATAATAACATGTATTAAGGGCATATTATATGCCAGTCACTGAACTAAGTGCTTTACATGGATTATAATTTTATTCTCAGACAAACCATATATTTGACCTATTATTATTATCCCCACTTTACAGATGAGAAAACTGAGACAACAGAAGCTAATTACCTTGCCCAAGATCATACTATTATAAAACAGCAAAGCCGTGACTCAAACCCGGAACCCCATGCCCTTAACCTACATTAAAAAGACTGATTCCTACAGCCCAGAGTAACTGAAACAGAATCTCTGGGACTGGATCCCCCAAATTTTACATTTTTAATTGGTTCCCTAAGTGACTGTAATTCCTACAAATATTGAGACCTAATGGCCTAGAGATCAAGTTAGACAATGCAACAAGCAATTATGAAAATAGCATTTGGTAAGTGTTGTGGAAGGGAAAAAGACAGGATGCTAAAGGAATGCTTACCTTAGATGTGGTCAGGGAATGCTTCCGAAGAGAATTGCTCGCACCTGCACAAAAGTAGGCATTTTCCATTTTCTTTTATCCCTATCTGGGAGCTTCTGAGAAAACTTTCAAGTAACAGGGCCAGAGGAAAGAAAGCTTTACGGCCTTTGAAGACGTAAAAGAAATCCACTGTGGCTAGAGGGTTGGAAGGTGAGACTCTTGCTTAAGAGATGAGGCCAAAGTGACAGGCAGAAGTGAGTCAGGGTTAGCAGTGGCTCTGTGTTAGATCCGGAAGGGTTTTATTTATAACTCATGTTCAGAAATGTGGACAATAAGTAGAGGTTAAAGGATTTTAAAAAGTGGAGTGACATGGTCAGGTTGGGTGTTTGAAGGTCACAGGTTTCAACAGTGTATGCATTCTATGAGCACAAGGGTTGTAAATTGTTCTCTACATTGAGGTCACCACTGTGGTTCCTTCTGTCTCAGGAGGCTACAAATTCCTTCCCATCAATTGGGACACTGTTTTCTCTAATACACTCCTAGAATTTCACCACCCTATCCCCCTCACCCTTGGCTTGTTCACATGCCAAGCCCTTTACACAGCATCACATTTGATTCTTACAACCATATTTATGTGTAAAGAAAGCAAGAGTCAGAGAGGTTAAGTAATGTGCCCAAGGCCATAGAGCTGGAGATATAGAACTTGAAAACAGGTATTTTTTGTTCCCAAAGCTCTTGCCCTTACCACTGTACTTAACTGGGTCCAAATCTATACAATTGAAGTGAAACCAGACTCTTCTAGGGTTCCTATATAATAAAACCCACATGGAGATTTCAAAAGGTCTCAATTCCCCCCTTAATCTTCCATGCCACAGGTAGCTATGAATGAATAAAAACTAATTGCACCAGATAGGACTAGTTCAGCTCACAATGACAGAAACACAATTCAAAGTGACTTAAGCCAACAACTTAAATGGCTCATGGAAATAACAAGCCTGATTTTGAACCCAATAAGTCATAAGGCCTTGGTCACTCCCACTCCATCTCTGCTTTGCCTCTCTCTGTGTGGCTTATCTGCAGTGAGTTCTCTTCTGGTGACAGGTTAGACAATAGCAGCTGCAGCTTGCAGCTTATCTGCTTAGTCACTTCAGCTGGAAAAGTGCCTTTCACAGTGGATTCAGAGAAAGTTCTATCCAAGAGTTCCATTGGTTAGATCTGGGCCCCTCCAGAGAGAGTGTGGTCAACCCCGCTTGATCACAATGTCTAAGAGTTTTTACGCTTAGACTAACTCTTAGATTACTTTTTACTCTTTGACTAGCACTCCAAAGGGAAATGAGATGCTCTTATGAAAGGAAGAACTGTGTAGTAAGCAGGGGAAAAATAGGTTTCCAGAACTCCACAGAATTTCCTAATCCCACCTACTTAGACCCAGTAAGATCACACTGGCTTCACTTTTCCTACAAACTTCTGAGTTTCTCCAATGGCAGTGATAATGTGAGACTTTTCTTGATGAGAACTGCCAGAAAAAATATCTGATTCCTTTTTTTTGGATTTTGTGTACTTTACAGGAAAGAAATTAAAGAAAGACCAAAGGAAAGTAGAGTCCTTGATTTTATGAGAAATAGAAAATAATGTACTTAAATAATTGGAAATGTTAATAATAATGTAACAAACATGAAGGACGAGAGTATTATTCAGTTAACCAAAGATCTGAGGTCAAAGAGAATGAACAAAGTTGGAGGAAAAAAAAAATTCTAAAAATCAAGATGTCAATTATGGGAAAATTAGTCAATGATGGATGTTTCAAGAAAGTAGAAATCAATCAACATAATCAAGATTTCTATGTTAATATTGCTGTGCTAACAAGTATGCTGCTTTTTCCAACATGACAAGTGACAGAACAAGCCAAGCAAGAAAGAAAAAGATTTTCCTTTACCTACTGGGTCCTCTATCACCATGACAATGTTGCAAGTGAAAAGCAGTTATGTTCATAATGTTATAATCTATATTTTTCTCTTCTACCTTCATTATTTTTCAAAGTTCAAGATGATGACAGTAAATTGTATTTACTTTATTCCATACAGATTTCTCTTGCTTTAAAATTGTTGGTGACTATAGGTGATATTTGATATGAGAAGAAAATAATTATTTTTCCACGTTTGAATGAAGAGCACTTTATCATTTGGGGATAATTCCATCCTCCAACTGCATGTGAGAAGTATCTCACAGAGGACTTCATCTGTCCGCTCCTGTCCCCAGCACAGAGCGTGAGAAATTACCTCTGCAGTTTCAGATACTCTCTTACAATCTAGTAGTTTAATTTTTTATGATAATAAAATAGGTGGTCATATTAATCCAATCACAATTATCATGATCTTTAAAATCATCAAAATAGTTACTGTTTATTTAGTGCTTTTCGTGTGCCAGACACTATGCTAAACACCTCCTGTGTCCTATTTTATTATAGGAAAAACTGAGGCTTAGAAAGCTCAATTACTTGCTTAAGGGGATGAATCTAGGAATTAGCAGAACAAAGATTCACATATTGGGTTGTTTATCCTGGTTGGCACCCCACGTTAATGAAAACCAACCATGAATTAAATGCATACTAGGCCAATTAGCCTCATGATGCTCTAAGGCCAAAGAATTCATTCCTGTCTTTTGCGACTGAAATAATTACTCAAAAAGGAAACTGAACAAGAGCATGTTCTTCAGCTTTTACAAGCCCCGCTCACAATGTGTACAGTGATAATCAGCATTGTCCTCCTCATATGTGAGGCTTAGTATAGGATTATTTTATATTCACAAATTATAATTACCTACCCATTATGCACAGGGCACTAAACCTGTAATTTTGGGAAGAACAATTATGAGTTAAGGTATAGCCATTGTTTCAAAGAGTTTACAATATGGAGCAGGGGTAGCAGCTCAGAGAAGCACTCTACAAGTGAAACATTTAGAAAAACACCACAAAAGAGCTATAAAGTATCATAGGAGTTCAAAGACAGGGAGGAATCTCATGCATTTATGGAAAGGCTTCCCAAAGGATGTACCATTTGACAGAGTCCTGGAATATTGGGTAGGATATCAACATGCACAGAAGAAAGGAAAGAAGGGAAGGCCAGACAGAAAGGATGGCATAAGAAAAGGCAAGTACCCTGTAACTGTGTGGTCAGGCACCCACACTCACAGGATGGATAAAATAGCCCAGTCTGGCTTGAGATAAACATGTGTATGGAGGGAGTAATGACAGGCAAGGTCAGAAACAGGCTGGAGATATTGTGCTCAGCTATTATGGTTAAGCTGAAAAGCTGGGTTCAGTTTGCCCAGCAGACCACTGAGCAATGAGCAACCGGACTGGATAAAAAACTATTCAAAGCTGGTCGCGGTGGCTTGAGCCTGTAATACTAGTACTTTGGGAGGCTGAGGCAGCCAGATCACCTGAGGTTGGGAGTTCAAGACCAACCTGAACAACATGGAGAAACTCCATCTCTACTAAAAATACAAAGCTAGGGGAGTGTTGTGGCCCATGCCTTTAATCCCAGCTACTTGGGAGGCTGAGGCAGGAGAACTGCTGGAACCCGGGATGTAGAGGTTGCAGTGAGCCGACATCAAGCTATTGCACTCCAGCCTGGGCAACAAGAGTGAAGCTCCGTCTCAAAAAAACAAAAACCAAAAAAGCAACTATTCAATTGAAATAATGTGACCAGGTTGTTAGGATAACAACTAACAAAGTAGTTGGGCCAGTGCTTCTTGAGTTTAAAGTTCCTAAGAATCACCTGGACATCTTTTTAAAATTCAGTAATTTTGAGCTGGAAACTGAGATTCTGAATTTGTGGCAGGCTCCCACATTAATATGAAGCTGGTGGTCCACAGACCATACTTTGAATAGCAAGGGATTACAGTTTAAATAATTCACCAGGAGATATGAAAAAGTTAAAGTAATTCCAGATTTTTAGAGTTTATTTTAAAATAAATTTGCTCTAATACTTCTTTACTTTTAAGCAAGAATTCAAAAATATAAGTCTGTATAAAATGATTCATAAGATATCCTTGGGCATTTAGCCATCATTTATTACCAGTCAGTTATTTGCCCAGATATTTTTTGTTGTTTTGCATTTAAAACTGCAAATCTGAAATTTCCATCTGCATCTTCTCCTGTTCTCCCATTGTTTAACTCTTTAAATACAATCTGAAAGAAATAAATTAAAAATGAGGTCATTTAGGCAATTTGTGGTTTCTGCTACAGATTTTTGTTATCTTAAAAGGAAGCAGAAAACATGTGGATGTATAAATAGAGGTGTAGAACACAAGTTCACAGAAATTTATTCTCTCACTGTATAAGGATGAGCTCCCATTTAGAATGCAGGGCTTAAAGCTGGTTGCCTTACTGAGAAGTGGGATACTAGTTATGCTAAGGACAAGTGGAGCAATTTAGGTCTTCCTGTCACTGGCTGTGGACCAGATGCTGGGGCTTTGGCCTCTGGAGCAAATTAAAACTGAAGGCATTTAATAGCAACCTAAATCTTAAAGGCTGAAATAGAAAACACAGCAGAGGACTTAAAACTGGGTCAAGGAGGAAACTCTAGTAAACCTTTTGAAATGGCTGACTTTTCAAACACTGTAAGTATTATTCTTCAGATAAGTCATTTTCAAAAGGAAAGAATGTTTTTCCCAAGTGGTATCTTTTCTGCCCCTAAAACAAGATATGGAGGCAGTCGTGCATAGAAAACCATAGGAATAAAATTCAAGCCAGCTTCTGCAATACCCAACCTTGCTTTCCTACCCCTTCCATGTTATGCTGCCTCCTGGCCACATGATGTCATGAAGACAGGAGCAAATTGCCCCAAGGTGAGAAGCACCCATAAGGGAAC